CTCTCTCTCTCTCTCTCTCTCTCTCTCTCTCTCTCTCTCTCTCTCTCTCTCTCTCTTTCTATATATATATATATATTATATATGCATATGTATATATAGAGCAATACAATTATATAGTATTAGACGATATTTTATCATTATTTCTTCATTTAATCGATATCAGATTAAAAAATTGATTATGAAAAAATTTAAAAAATAAGAAAAAATATATTCATAGTTTTATGTTTTATTATGCAGGAATCATAATTTGAAACATGAAGTAAAAAATTATTTGTTTATGATATTTTACTTTTTTACATTACAGTTATTACAAATAAAAATTAATATATTATGTATTCATATATTTCTTTATAAAGTAAGATTTACTTTGAATTTTTTTTTATGTATAATTATGTATTTTTTAAGAATGTATTGTCATTTATAAAAATACTGTAAAATATCATTCTATAAAAATGTTATAAAATTATTAAGATATTCAAAATTGTATGGTGAACAAAATGGAAATCTTTAAATTTAATAGATATCTTATCACTAGTTTACTTCGCTTTACGTATAGACTTTAATATACATAATGGAAATATGTAAAACTATTTTTATAAAAAAATTTTATATTTTCTAATTATTTTGTAATTTATGATTTTATAATTTTTTCTTTCATTTATATCCTAAAAAATTTTGAATAATCATTTTAATTTCTCATAAATGGCGTATATAGTAATTTGAAAGTACCAATATAATAAAAATAGTTAAAATGTTTCTATAGGCTCTAATATCATACGATTAGCGGTTGGCTAACCTGATTTATCGTACATTGTTTTTAAGTTCAGTACGACGTAAGGAAAATGAGGAAGTAAAGTGTAAGAATCATTTCTATTCAAATATAAGTTAATAATCAAATTAAATAAACTTTTGTTTTTCCTGAAGATCTATTAGAAATTAAGGTATTATAATAATAAAATTTATAAATAAAATTTTTCATATATAGAAATAATTTTAAAATTATATCTTAGAATAATATATTCGTTACGAATTTTTTAAAAATATTTTACTTAATATTTATTAATTCCTTTAATTTTATAGAAAAATGGGAGAACGTAAAGGCACAAATTTATATTATCCACCTGATTATGATCCTCGTGTTGGTGGACTTAATAAATTTCTTGGAACTCATGCCTTACGTGAAAGAGCACGTAAATTACATATGGGTATTCTTATTGTCAGATTTGAAATGCCATACAATATATGGTGCGATGGATGTAATAATCATATAGGAATGGGTGTTCGTTATAATGCTGAAAAAAAAAAAATTGGAATGTATTATAGTACACCTTTATATCAATTTCGTATGAAATGTCATCTTTGTGACAATCATTTTGAAATAAAAACTGATCCAGCAGTAAGTAATTATATATTATGTTTTTATAATAATTATTTATCATATTTGATTATTTATGTAAATATCTTTTTACATAGAATTTAGATTATGTAATAGTGAGTGGTGCAAGACGTCAAGAAAATCGATGGGATCCTAAAGAAAATGAACAGATTGTACCAGAAACAAAAGAAGTATCTTGTAGACTATATGATGATGCTATGTATAAATTGGAACATGGTATAGAAGATAAGAAAATAGCAAAATCACGAGATTCTTCTTTGGAATCTGCAATAGCACTAAATGATGCTACATGGAAAGATGATTATACTTCAAATTGTGCATTGCGAACTGCATTTAGAGTATGTTTAATATATACTTGTTAGTTATGTCATATATTTTTATATAATTTGTTATAATGTTTGAATATTGTAGACACGAAAAAAAGAATTGCAAAAAAAGCAAAGTTTGGATCAAATATTGCTTAAAAAAAGTGGATTAAACATTGATTTAGTTAATGAACATGAAGAAGATATAAAATTAGCTAAATTATTAATGTATAAAAAAGGTAATTTAGATAATATATAATATAGAGAAAAATCAATATTTAAAAAAAATATTACAAAAATTTATTATATTATTTCCAGATACAAAAAAAAGTGTACATAACCCTTTGAAACGATTAATTACTATTGTACGATCTAGAGATAAAGTAAAAAGTTTGCCATATTCTGTAAATCATGGTATTAAAAAACAAACAAATCAAACACCTAAACTTCCTGAATTTAATCAGCAAAAAAATGCGACATCGAAAAGTACTAGTACGTTAAATACATCGCTAGTTACTTATGATAGTTCTGATACAGATAATGATTCGTAGTATTTTGTATTTGAAATAAAAAAATTATACATATATCTAATATAATTTATAATTATTTGGTAAATATGTATAATATATATAAAAATAACAGTACATATTAGGAATAGTATAAGGAATAATATAATAAAATATTAAGTAAAAATATATTTGTTTATAATGGATTTAGAAGTTTATTTTACATTTTTATTACATTACACTTTTTTAATCTTATATTCATTATATTTAATAAAAATTGCTTAATATTTTAATTTTATTCTTGTATAAATAAATATATTTATACATCAATAAGAGGTTGCTCAACAATTGCTGTTGTTGAGGATACCAATTTTTTTTTCACTACATGAATCTTTTTATTTGAAAGACAGATAATATAACAATGATCTGGATATGTTATTGATATTTTATCAAAAACTTCATTATTAGGAAATGCTTTTGGATCAATTTTATTGGTTAATGTAACTAAACCTACAATAATGTTTGCAAATTTTTCATCATTTTCTAGTTCACCTCCAGACTAAAATAAAATATATAATTTGAAGATTTTTAAAATTTTGTAAAAAATAATTAACAATTAGAATAATAATACTTTTATGTAGAAAAAAAATATTACCGTTAACACTGCACCATCCTCTGTCAAAATTAAATGCCCAATTTGATCTGGAATTCGTTCCAATGAAAGCATATTTTTCCTGTTATATATAATTCAAATATCAACTTTATTTTTAATGCAAAATATATAAATGAAACTATGTTGTGTTGAATTGTTTTTAATACACTTTTTTTTAAACATGAAAATTCTAACCTGTTGATTTAAAATCGTTCTAATGCATTAAATGTATTATTGGAGACTTATTTATAACTGGAGACTTATTTATATAGATTTAAAAAAAATTAAACAAATTAATTACACTTCTTTTATAATTGCCAATACATGAAATTACAACAAAATGAAAGCTACCAAGCTATGAGTTGACAACAATATCAATTCATGCATGTGGAAAATAAACATATTTTCTTTTTATGTAAAATCACAGATAAAGTATAAAATAGATCTAATATTCAATGCATTTTTTGAGTCATTTCTCGGGAGCACTAGAATTATTTTACCATATTAATTTTTTTTTCAACATTACCTTTTTAACTCAGAAGATTGCAACATTAATAACAATTGGAATTGAAATTAAATTTTAATATAAAATTATAAAAAGGAATAGAACAAATATTTTGTTATAAAATATTTTGTAGACAAAAAAATAAAGAAGGAAAAGGATATAATAAAAATTTCAGCGCCATCTCCAGAATTGTAAATGAAACAAATGTAAACGAGAAAAAAAATATTAAATAAGAATTAATTATCAGCGTTATCTCTTTAGCATTTAGCAAATGGTGTTTATTATCAATCTTATTCTATCAATCTCATTTATTTTATTCTATTTTTGGAAAAATGTTTCTATTATTTAAAAGATGGCGTTAATAGTTAATTCTTATTTTATTCTTCTATTTATTTTTCTTATTTATATACGTTTCATTTGCGAATTTCTTGAAATTGATTCAATTTTTACTTTATTTTTGTTCTTTTATCATTAACTGAAAGATTTCTTTTTTTTGTTTATATAATTTATACATCATGACATCATTCAATTATAATTCATAATAAATTATCAATTGAAAGTTATCAAAAAAAAAATCAGAATTAGAAATACTTGTGATTCTTATGATTTTAAGAATAAAATGTTTTTATTTTTTATCAAATTTTAATAATATGATAATAATAATAAATAATAAAATCGGTGTTTTATTGTTATCTCTATTATATAAATAGTAAC